AACTTTTTCCACCACCGTGGACGGTGGTTGGATGGAGGATACATTCGATGAAGCTTTTAGGCCGCCATTTGTATCGAAAAAGTCATCGAGGAATATACATATATATATATATATATATATGTGTGTGTGTGTGTGTATGTGTATATTTATAATTCCGCGATGTTTCGAACACTCCAACTCCGTTTTTTTTTTACTTTAATTTTCGCGAAGTAGCAGTAAAAAAAAAAAAAAAAAAAAATACCACTCTCGCGTATAGTTCCAAGTTTGACGAGTTATATATATATGTATATATATATATATATGAAAAATTCAAATATTTTTCAAATCGATTTTTTTTTTTAAATATAGGAATAAATAAGAGGATAATATTTTGTATATTCGAAAAAAAAAGGAACGAAGTCGAGCGTCATTTTTTCGAACAATTTCGAATTATGTTATCATCCGTATATTATTTTGACCGATTGACGTATTTTATTAATTCGTATATATAAAGTATTCGTATATATAAATATATTATATATTGTATTATATATAAGAGAATCGACAGATGTCGTTGCAAGCTTTTTCTAATTCGTGGACGAGTTTTTACGCTCTCTCTCCCCCCCTCTCTCTCTATTTTAAGGGGGATCGATGAGTCATCGATTCGAATGAAATTTTTCACCCCTTTTTCGATACATCCCCCCCCCTGGAAAGATAGTTTCGAAGTTTCCTTCCTACCTTCCGTGTCCGGATTTATTCGATATTCCAGGGGTGAAAAAGAGTGGACGCGATTCCGGTCGACGTTGATCTATGACCCGGCGGTTCGGTATATCGGGGGCTTGTTTCACCCTTCCCCCTCCCTCTCCCTCTCCCTCTCCCTTGCGGTGACCGCGGAATTTTCGAAAGTTCGTTTACACACAAACCCGTTGGCGGGATTTTCGTAAATTTGCCCGCTTTGTAACCTCCTCCAAAATTCATCTATATTTCATCGACGCAACCTTTCCGCGCGTGCACACGTCCAATTCCAGTGTTAAAGCGGAAATTAAGAAATTATTGACGAAAATTGAAATTTGAAATTGAAATTTGAAATCTTTTAAAATTGAATTACAATGTTCGAAATCGTTGTAAATATTTTTTTCTTCGCTAGGAGATCGAAATCTTCCTGTAAGGATTTTATATTAATTCGATTCGAAAAATAAATCGATCAATCTCGAAATTTTCAAAGTTTTCGAATTATGTTCGAAATCGTTGTAAAATTTTATTACATTCGCGTTGTAAAAATTTTTTCTTCGTTAGGAGATCGAAATCTTTTTTTAAGAATTTTAAATTAATTCGATTCGAAAAATAAATCGTGTCGATCAATCTCGAAATCTCCGAAATCTTCGAATTACGTTCGAAATTGTTGTAAAATTTTATTACATTCGCGTTGTAAAAAATTTTTTTTTCGTTAGGAGATCGAAATCTTTTTTTAAGAATTTTAAATTAATTCGATTCGAAAAATAAATCGTCATGTCGATCAATCTCGAAATCTCCGAAATCTTCGAATTACGTTCGAAATCGTTGTAAAATTTTATTACATTCGCGTTGTAAAAATTTTTTTCTTCGTTAGGAGATCGAAATCTTTCTGTAAGGATTTTATATTAATTCGAAAAGTAAATCGTGTAGATCAATCTTGAAATCTCCGAAATCTTCGAATTATGTTCGAAATCGTAAAATTTTATTACATTCGTGTTGTAAAAATTTTTTTCTTCGTTAGGAGATCGAAATCTTTCTGTAAGGATTTTATATTAATTCGAAAAGTAAATCGTGTCGATCAATCTCGAAATCTCCGAAATCTTCGAATTACGTTCGAAATCGTTGTAAAATTTTATTACATTCGCGTTGTAAAAATTTTTTTTTTCGTTAGGAGATCGAAATCTTTTTTTAAGAATTTTAAATTAATTCGATTCGAAAAATAAATCGTCATGTCGATCAATCTCGAAATCTCCGAAATTAAATTAATTATGTTCAAATCGTTTGTAAAATTTTATTACATTCGTGTTTTAAAAATTTTTTTCTTAGGAGATCGAAATCTTTTTAAGGATTTTATATTAATTTTTTTCGAAAAGTAAATCGTATCGATCAATCTCGAAATCTCCGAAATTGAATTATGAAATCGTGCCAAATTTTTAAAAATTTGTAAAAATTTTTTTCTTCGCTAAGAGATAGAAATCTTCCTATATATATATATATATATATATATATACACACACACAAGGATTTTATATTAATTCGATGAAAATGAATCGTATCGATCAATCACGATTTCAAAGCGATACTTCCAAACTTAATTCTTAATCTTTCCTTTTCACCAAATTTAAAACACAATTTTTTTACTCTTTCAAATCAAATTTTTCTTCTTTACTTTACGTAAAATCGAGAGAGAAAGAGAGAGATAAAATATATACATCGGCACGGAATAAAAATTCGAGGATCACGACAATACCGATCGAGGGGGGGAGAGGGCATGAAAGAAAGGTAGAGGGCGCTGGTGCGTTCCAGGGCACGCGTTTAACATTCCTGCTTTGAATACGTAATTTTCCACTGGGAGAGGAGGAGGAGGAGGGAACAATGCACGCGTGGTTTTATCCCGGCTTGTTGACACGCGTCTGCCCCCCCAAAGACGCCATCGCCATCTTTTCACTCGTGGCGATGGCGAATTTTCGAGAGGAAAAAAAAAAAAAAAAAAAAAAGAAAGGCACGAAAAATTTATCCTCATCGATAATCATCCCTTTTTTCATTTTCGATCGTCCCCTTTGAATTTCTCTCAACTTTTTCCAATCAAGAGCGATTCCTTGAACGGATAGTCGAACTCGAGAATAATTAAAATTAATTTAACGCGACAAAAAGTTTGCCTAAGGTTTACCATCATTTACGAGGATCATAATGGACAAAACTAATTCTCTCTCTCTCTCTCTCTCTGTCTCTTTTATTAAAACGCAAAAAATTTAACGAAATTTGTATTATATATATTATTCTTCAAACGTATCGAGTCGACAAACGAATTATCTCTTCGACATTACTCGAAGAATTTAAGAATTGAAATTAAGAATCTCTTGATTGGTTGACGAACAAATCTTCATATTTTAGAGTCGATCCTCCAAAAGCGTTATATACGAAGAATCTGCAGAATCATCGAAAAGCAGTGAAGTGAAATCGGAATGTAAAGAGAGAGAAAAAAAAAGGGGAAAGAAAGACTGTCTAAATAAGTCCATTTACGACAGAGTTTCCTCCAACGGCTACCCAACCACGCAAAACCACCGAACTTTCCACGGGTTTGGACTTGGCTTTGAATTTTTCTCGAATCGAACTTCTTTCGAGACTCTCTGCCTAAACTAGATCTACTTTTCTAGATTCTATTGGACAGCGAGCGAGCGAGCTAGCTCTGTGTACGGCTATTGGATTTCCCCCCACCCCTCCTCCGCCCCTCCCCTCCGCGTCTATTCAAGTCTCAAGTGTTTCTGGGATTGCTCGGTGGTGGAAACTCGGGCTATCGCCGAAGCGGCGGTGAAGAGCTTCCCCCTCTCCTCCCCTCTCTTTTGGTGGCTTTCTTCTCTCGAGATGTTGTCCACTTTTTAGAGAATTTTAGAGAAATTAAGGCGAAAGGATCGCGCAAGGTTCACCAGGCGCCTCCCCCCTCCAAAAAAAATGAGAAAATGGAGGGAATCTTGAGAGCCTTGGGATAAAAATATCAAAACTTGTTTTGGATTCCAAAAGGGGAGGGGGAGGGGGAGGGGGAGGGGAGTAACAGCGCGAACAAATGAAAAATTGGGATGAAACTCGAAATAATGGAGGAAAAAGAATCTTCTGTTTTTTCAAAAAAAAAAAAAAAAAAAAAAAAAAAAAGATTTGGAAAAGATAATACAAAGGAAACCTTAAAAATTGAGGAAAAACGAAAGAGGATCAGGAAGTTTCTTAGAAAAAGTGAGGCAGAGAGGGGAGAAAGTGTAATTATAAAGAGAATTAATCAAAAGATACAATTCCTTCAATACACGAATCATTTACGATAAAAAATTGTAAACCCTTTTACAATCATTCTGTTCAGAAATTTGCAAATGTTTATTATGTTTGCAATCTTAAATTACATAGATAGAATTATTTTTTATGATAAAAAATGTGAACACTAAATTATTCAAAAGCAATTTCTTCAAGTAGACCTGAGATATTTTTATTTTTATTTAATTTTAAAAAAGAAAAATAATGAAACGAATGAAGGAAGCATATAGATCCACTTATGAGTTCGAGTCTCTGGGTTAAATCTGATAAACGAATTACCTACTTCGAAAAATATATCTACATCTTTTAGAATTTTAAATTACGCTTTGCTTCGTCTCGAAATAATTCAAAATTCTGTAGATTTAATCTCAAAAATCGTATTCTCCATTCCTTCGTTTCGAAATAATTCAAAGTCTGTAGACCTAACCTCAAAAATCATATTTTCCATTCTTTTGTTTCGAAGTAATTTAAAGTCTGTAGACCTAACCTCAAAAATTGTATTTTCTATTCCTTCGTTTCGAAATAATTTAAAGTCTATAGACCTAATCTCAAAAATCATATTTTCCATTCCTTCGTTCCGAAATAATTCAAAGTTTGTAGATCTAACCTTAAAAATTACATTTTCCATTCCTTCGTTTCGAAATAATTCAAAGTCTGTAGACCTAACCTCAAAAATCATATTTTCCATTCTTTTGTTTCGAAATAATTTAAAGTCTATAGACCTAACCTCAAAAATTGTATTTTCTATTCCTTCGTTTCGAAATAATTCAAAGTTTGTAGATCTAACCTCAAAAATCGTATTTTCCATTCCTTCGTTTCGAAATAATTCAAAGTCTGTAGACCTAACCTCAAAAATCGAACTTTCCTTTTTATCGAGATAATTCAAAATTTTAGATTTTATTTAAAAAATCGTAGCTTTTTATTATTACATATGTATATCAAAATATATATATTATTACAATATTATACAAAATATATATATATATTATATCATTACAATATATAACAAAATTATTTTATTACTCTCCGAGATTATAAGCACGATTATATTATTATTTTCTCGATCAATAATTCAAATAATTACAAGCAACGAGCTCACAATTAAAATACCATCGTAGTAATTCTACTTAAACAAAATACCTAGATTAGATTCTGTTCTTCCTCTTTCTTTACAAATCCTATCAACTCCTTACAACTCCAACACTAACACGATCCCCACTAACTAATTTCCTTCAAACAAACCTTTATTTATACGCACGCAAGAATGAAAAAAAAAAAAAGAAACGGAAGAAAAGGATAAACAATCGTCAGGATGGAATTTTATTCAAGGATCAAAAAAAAAAAAAAAAAAAAAAAAGAAGAAGAAGAAAGAAAGAAAGGGCTCGTTAACAGGATGCAATTTCGGTCGAATGGGCGATTCTCTGTCTTGGGGAACGGAAATCGCGCACTTCGTTACCCGCGCGCGGCAATTAGCCTCTTAATTACCCGAAGCTTCTTCCCTCCACGAACGACGATCCGAAGATCCTCCCGTGGGATCCTGCGGGGAAGCGCGTCTTGCGCGGGGAAATCGATTTCTCGGATGCAACGCGAGGATGGGCGGGGAAAGCAGGTTGAAAGAACGCTCCGGTGTTTGGACGAGATTTGTTTACCCTTTGTCGTTGCCGGGCGAAAAAATGGGGAAAACCGAGAGAGAAAATTTTGGACGATTCCCCTCTTTCTTTCCGATTCGTCGAGCCTCTAATTTATTATTAGGAAAAGAGAGAATAAGAATTGTTTCCTCGTTCAATTCAAATTTTCTAATTTAACGTACAATTGATTTGAATATCATGAGCAAGAATCTGAGAGAGTCTCCAATTTGTTAACTTGCAATGCAAGAAGATTATAATAAATGCATCTGGTCGTATTTTGAATTTTTGAATTGCAAGAATATTCATCTATCGTATACCTTATTAAATCGACCATTTAATAATTATATTGATTGAAAACAGGGAAAGACGTACGACATGTATTTCCCTGCGATTCGAATCCAGGTCGAAAGGGGAGGAGGAGAAGGGGAGGGCCTTAAACAAATTCCCCCGTTTCATCTTATCCTCGCGAACGGCAGTAGGACGGCAGTATTTGCCGTTGTCACGATCTTTTTATCTCCTCTCCGTTGAATTTCCGACCACGTGCCACCGCCTAATACCTTAATAACTGGGAACAATGTTCCCTCCTTTCACGGCTCTATCCCTCGAAGGACGAGGAATATTATTCGCGGGGAGTCGGTGAAAAGTGGGCCAAATTGGCGTCCACCCGGTTGACAACCGGTTATTAAACAGTAGTCTTCTTTAATTAACCGGAGTAAAGTTGCGCCAACTTGGACCGATGAAAGTCTAACCCTCAATTAAATACAATCGGGAGGAAATTTCTGAGAAATTTTGCACACTTTGAACAGCATATATTTCTCTTCGAAATTTTCTCGCGATATCATATATTTACGATGATTCATCTTCATGGAATTTTTATAAAAAGATTTTTCTTGAATATTAATATTTTTCGTTCCACCATTCCGCTTTCGATAATTCATTTTCGAAAGATTCTTTTCCAGAGGAGAAGAGAGATGGCAGAGACCTCTAGGCGATTACGTCGTGGGTGCGAAAAAAAGAACAATAAACGTGGAAACGAAGTTCGTTAGTCGAATAGAATTGGCCGACGACACCGAACTGGCTGGAATCCTTTTAGTATGCCCTCTGACGAAATTCTGAGGTCGTAGTTGCGTTAGGTGAATTCGTTAGCGAAACTTTCCTCGTATATATATATATATATATATATATACGCGTATAATACGCATACCGAGCAACAGCCAATCGAAACACGCGACAAAAGGGTGGTGAGGCGACAAATTAATTAAACTCTTCTGCTCGTTTTATATTTTAATGCCGCGATTACGCGCGACGCTCGCGTGATACCCTCGCTTCACCTGTTAACTGCACGCGCTTTACGTTGAAGTGATAAAATTAATTAAGGATAAGTGAAAAAAGGGAATAAATTTAAAAAAAAGAGAGAGAAAAAAAAGAAGAGATTAAATCAATTCGATCGTTCTAACGAGCTTTAGTTATCGATATATATATATATATTTTCTTTACTTGTTTTCATTCAAGAATTCTTTTTCAAACTTCTTCAGAAAAAGTTTTCTCTCAAGTTGACAACAATGCCCGATCAAGATCGTGGAAAGTTTTTTTCAACCGGATGGATAATAAACTTCTCTCAACTTGTCCTCACGAAAGAAGTATCAAGTGCGTATGCCTTGCTAATTAGAGCTCCTCCGCTAATGTACCGATCAATACGATGGTCGTTAACAGGCTCGAGTAGTCGTAAACAGTTGACGGTTGATTCATCAGAGCCGAGCTGTGTATCGCACGAATATCTTCTCGATTTATTTTTCAAAAGATTCTCTCTCTCGATAATCTTCTCAAGAATTGTCGTTTTAATGTGATTCCAGGGGACGTCATCGATTGCTGAGCGGCAAGAGACGAAAAATCAGCTGGTATGTCAAATAATCAGCTGGTTGACTCCTGTCTGTAAGTGTCTTTCTCTACTCGAGTTCTCTGTCGAGGAGAGTCTCGTAAACGATTAATACGTTCTCTTTCTATCTTTCGCTCTATTACTCTTTTTTCTTCCTTCTCCAATGAGGGAGAATCATCGGTGAACTCCGCTTTTCCCTCTCTTTCTTTATCTCTCTTTCTCTATTTTACACGGCTATTGCAAAAAACGTAACATCGACCAATTGGCGAAACTCGTTTTCTCGGTAATGGCTAGAAAAGAAATAAAGATTCTATTTATCTATCTATTCCGTCTATCTACGCTGTCGTTCGCCCCGTTTTTCTTGGAGTCTCGATGCTCGAAAAGAAAAAAAAAAATTGACACACGAGGCCCGGGAATCGGCCACACGACCACCAGTAATGAAAAAGACAGTTACAAGATATGTTAGAAAATAGATCGCACCCTAGGATGCACGTAGCCCCAGCACCTGTATATTAATCAGAGCGAAATTATTAATGCCAGGCTGGTGAATCGTCGAATCGTCGAGAGACAGGAGCACAGCATAACGCACACTGAGATCACGCAGAGGTGACTAACATGACCTAATCGACGAGGTTAGTCATTCTGAGCGCGCGAGCGCGACCGATTACCCGATTCCATTATTATTCATCGTTGAATCAACATTGTTCGTGTATTAATTATTTTTCCTTTGGGAAAAGCGAAGCTTCGAATCGAAAATTCGGAATTCGTCGAGATTCTCGATGGACCGCTTAACGTCGAAACAAAAACGATTTATGCCTCCTTTAAGTGCAAATATACCAAGTGCTCTATAGGATGTACGCTTTAACAATATCCATCACATTTTTAAATCTCTTTTCATAACGACAAATAATATTTTAATTCAACCGATTTTCGAATAATCTTGATCCTCTGTCATCTATAAATAATCTGCAAATGATCCTATATTGTTTTCTTCATCATCTCTACGTAACTCTCAAATGATCTTAATCCTTCGATTTTTTTTAAAGGAATCTTTCTTTATCAGTTGATCGGAAATAAAAAAAAAAAAAAAAATAAAAAATATTTGGATACTGTTAAAAGATACATACCTTGTAGATTTCTCTCGATATAGATATTTCGTCCATCGAGATGTCGCGAGGCATTCCAACGAATTTTCAAAGATGGATCATCGAAAAGAGTTGTCAGAATGAGTAACTTCGGCCGCACTAACATTCGTGCTCATTTCGCGTTTATTATTTAGCATGGTTGAGAGTGATGTGTGACGAGGATACGAGGTAGTTTAACGTAGTTAGATTCGTATCTGAATGCTTCGCTTTGTTCTTCGTTCCTTTTACTTTTTCATTACTTTGTATTACTGTTACAGCTCGGTGTGCGCTTTATTTATTTATTTCTTTTTTATCTCGTCTATCAATTGCACGTATTGATATATATCTCTATCAATTTTTTTCCCCCTTTTATTCTTTTTCAAAATTATCCATCGAAATTATTTTAGCTGCTTAATATTCGTTTTGGTGGCTCGTCTCCACGCGGATAACAAATCAGAGCAAATAGTGATTCGTTCCATGTGTATTTTTTTTTTCCAGACGCGTTCTCCAGGAGAAGGGCCCCGACATGCCGCAATACACGTAAGCTATCGAACCTTAAGCGAATAAATCGGCGATTGTTGGCGCGATGGGATCTCTAATTGATCATTATTGCGGATCATTTTGCAGCGGACAGAGTGATGCAGATTACCACGGAAGTAACGGCCAGGCGGATACCCATTCGTTGCATTCGTCTCATTTGTCTGTCCAGGAGGATCCATTACTCATCCGGAGCCATAAGCAGCAAACCACTCAACAAGTGAGATCCGTTTCCAGTTTTACCTACGCTCTAATTTGCTGCGATTTCCTTTTACTCTCAACAAATTGTTCCCGCCTCGTACTTGTTCTTCATTCTGAAATTTTCAAAAGTTTCACATCAAAATTAATCAATAATACATAGTTCTTAATTTTCTCGTTATTTCCTCAAGAATAACGCCGTTACTTATCTTTCCATTCAACCTTATCTTAAAAAATAATTTCAGGTAACAAACGTCTCGAAGGTCGTGCGCGAGGTATCACACATGGAGCCGGATCCGGGCGCGGTCAGCTACATGTCGGTGCCGTTGATGTCCCAGGACTATCAACACGCGGACCGACGATACCCGGCCGACTCTTACATGGTCGGTTTCGAGCATTACGAGCCCTACCTCGGCTATCCGCCCCAACCAGGGTATCCAGGACCTCATGGAATCTACATGCCCCGCTCGCATTCCCCTCACAGTCCTCACAGTCCTTCGGAGCACAGTCGTGCCTCGCCTCCGCATGGTAAGGCGAGCGTTTATTTTTTTTTTTTTTTTTTTATATCCTCCATGACGCCATCTTGTCGTCGTTGGAACGAATGAAAATTATTTCTGAAAATTATCGTGGAATAAAAACTTGTTTCTTTTTTTTATTTATTTATGTTTGTTTGTTAAAGAATACCTGCGCAAGGCGGCGCCGTACGTGGAAGGAGGTTACAACGACATCGATCCAGGTTTGAATCCCGCGTTGCAAGATCATTATCGTATTACTCCTAGCCCTGGTGGTCCTGGAGATCAATATGGTACGTTCGGTAACTTCGAAACGGGTTAGAAGGATTAGCTTTCCCCCCTCCTTTTTTTGTCCCATTGCTTCTCATAGTTGTTCAGTCTGTCCACGTCCAAATTCACACGAAGGCGCCTAGACAGTTCCATAACGAGATATTCAGCTATCATCACGTTCCAGCATGGGGAATTGTCCGGTCGTGTGCACAGGAGGGCACAACGAGCATAATTCACTTTAATTATCTCTATACCTGACATTCGTTTGTTATTTTGTGTTCTCTCTAGATCAAATCAGCAACTCTTGGAATATGGATGACTCTGGCGAACCCTCTCAGCATCCTCATGGTAGGGTCACATCAATAATTTATTTAACACATTCTCTCTCTCTCTCTCTCTCTCTCTCTCTCTCTCTCTATCTTTGCCCCCCTCTTCTCTTCCCCTTTTCTAGTCACTTTCATCGCGTTTCATTTGTCCCCCTATTCGTGCTCCATCATTTCATTTACTATAATAACAGATAATGCGAGTGAATTATGCGTTTCGACTACTACTTTATTTACAATTACTTGTTCAAATACCTGTTCAAAACAGAGGGGCACTCTTGCCCTCTCGTCCGGATGAAAAACCGAAACCGAATATTCTTGCTCGTTTCCAGACGAGAATAAAGTGGCCTACGGTTACGTGTCTCCGTCCCCATACGGACCGGTCGGATACGGCCCCGGTGTCGGGGTAGGTCCGGTCGCAGTCCCCAGCGACGTGCCCGGCTACGACGAGGGCCACCCGGTTCCACTCCCCTCGGGCGTGCCACCGGGTATGTTCGACGACGAGGTCCACCTGCAACGGTTGCAGTCCCGCCACCCGGTGGTGCCGGGGATGGCCAGCCCGCTGGACGACGACCAAAAGTCGATGAGATGGCGGGACCCGAATCTGTCGGAGGTGATAGGCTTCCTCAGCAACCCGAACAACATCATCAAGGCGAACGCGGCCGCGTACCTGCAACATCTGTGCTACATGGACGATCCCAATAAGCAGAAGACGCGTAGTTTAGGTGGTATACCGCCGTTGGTGCAGTTGCTCGACCACGACAATCCCGACGTGTACAGGAACGCGTGCGGGGCGTTGAGGAACTTGTCGTACGGGAGGCAGAACGACGAGAACAAGAGGGCCATCAAGAACGCGGGCGGCGTCCCGGCGTTGATCAATTTGTTGCGCAGAACGTCTGACGCCGACGTGAAGGAACTGGTTACGGGGGTCCTGTGGAATTTATCCTCGTGCGAGGTGAGAAGGAGGAGTTTTCCAGAAGATGGCGACGGGAAAAGTATTTATTTATTTGTTTTCGTTCGATCGAATCGTTTCGTTCGACGAAGAAGAGGAATAAACGTGATTGGAACAATCACATTGTAATGCGATTTAAAAGAATTAAATTCATCCTGTAAATTAATTATTGACATCCTCTAAATTAATTATTCTTGTAGTTTTCAAGAGTTACTTACTTATTATTCGTTTCTCTCTTTTCGTTTGTCATCTTCTCGTGGACGAGCGTGGTAATAGGTTATGTTGAATCATTTACGTTACGGATCTAAATTTCGTTTAACCTCTTGTCGAATCACACTTGTAATCAACTTGTAATTTTTGCCGTGCTGTATTATATATCAGTGATTTTGTGACTTCTTTTTAAATTAAAATTTACAATCAAGAAAGAATATTGAAAATAGTTCGCGTAGAAGTTAGAATTGTGCCTGTCGAACTCTACCATTAATGATATATACGTTATATGTACATCGATACTATTGTTACGTTGTCGATAATTCGATGTATCGATAATATCGAGCAGATGAAAGTAGAATTCTTTCTAACAATTCTTTCTACAAATAATATTTTTACATTCTAATAATAACTTTAAATAAGAAGAAAAAGAACTTCAGTCACTTGTATCCATTAACGATATCTTGCAACGATATTATCGATATATCGAAAACTATCAATATGGCATCGATAAAATCAATCGATCAGTCACAACTCTAATGGAAACTTGAATAGAACTGAGAATAACGACGAATTTATAAAATTGTCGGACAGTGAATTAATAAGATCCATAAACGAATACTTTGCCGAGCCAATTTATTAGAGGTTAAGTTTCCATCCATAGGCTTACTTCACTAGTAACTAGACAAGTAAAACTAGGAAAGAAATTAATCGATCCTTCTTGCAGGACCTGAAGAAATCCATCATCGACGACGGCGTGACGATGGTGGTGAACAACATAATAATCCCTCACAGCGGCTGGGATCCGAGCTCCTCGAGCGGGGAGACGTGCTGGTCGACGGTGTTCAGAAACGCTTCAGGCGTGTTGAGAAACGTGTCGAGCGCCGGCGAATACGCGAGGAAGAAGCTGCGCGAGTGCGACGGTTTGGTCGACGCCCTCCTCTACGTGGTCCGATCCGCCATCGAGAAATCGAACATCGGGAACAAGATCGTGGAGAACTGCGTGTGCATCCTGCGAAACCTGAGCTATCGGTGCCAGGAGGTGGAGGATCCGAACTACGACAAGCACCCGATCCAGTCGACCGTTCAGAACAGGGTAGCCGCGCCCGCCAAAGGTGAGGGCTTGTCCTCTCCCCTTGCATTCCGGGAATGAGACGAGTGTGTACCCTCCCCCTTTGCCATGGTTCAAACGCACACCGGTTCCCTCCTCTGGGCATGATGTGGTGGAACACGCATGTAGCCGAAAATTGTGTGTGCGCTGATGAAAAAACGGCTCGCCTCTTTTCCCCCTGGGGAGGATGATAAGATAAGAGAGGGCAGGTTTTGCACTTGCTCTTTCGTGCTACTAGATGTAACAAAAAAGAAAAGTTATACACGGAAAAAGCAACGCGCGATAATTTCTTGTGTGATAAATTATCTCGTTAGATCTATAGTTTTATTGTTATTATTGTCTGTCGATAGAAGATAGTCGAAAAAAGAAAGAAAAAGAGTGTAGAGTGTTCGTTATATAAGTAGATCATTTTTATCAAGATTGTTAAATTCTTGCATTGTTCTCTCCAGTTATATGTATATATATATATATATTTCCTCGTTATCGAGCCACGAAACTTATTACGATTGCTTATTACTTTTGTATCGCCACTTTTGTATTTCCATAAACTAGGCTAAATTGTCGTACTATGAAAATTAGTTCTTCGAAAAGTAGAATCGATATAATCGTATAGTCTTTGAACACGAAGGGAATCGTACACGGGGAGGAACGAAGCATTTACGTATATCCGCTTGACAACGCATTTATTGTACAGTAAACAAGTCGCATAACGACGAGATGTTGCACGTTTCGGATTTCGTGGATATGTGGAATGTGAAACGTGCAAGGTGTAGTGATTAGGAACTATTAGCTGGCCCCCTATATATATATATATATATTTATTTATTTATTTATTTATCTCTACGAATTTAAATGATAAAATAATCACACTTGTTGTACACACTTGAATATTCGTTGTAACGCTTACGTACTCTGTTGATATAATCGCTTACTAATCGTTTGATTGATACGTAATTGGGTGTGGTAATGATGTCCTTTGCGAGACGACGATAACCCTTTATTAGCGATAGCATACACATATACACACATACACACACAGTCGATTTAGTGTACTTATCTTTCTGCAACCACGTTGATCTTTGTGTTTCCCCTTTGGGTGTTATGATTTTGATTCACTCGATCCTTATCGCAAATTCTTTTTCAAGTAACGAGGTCAAAATTTACTTAGACAAAAAGCAAAGAGAAAAAAGTAAAGTAAAGTAAAGAGCAAAAGAAAAGAAAAAAAAAACACAAGTTTTATATCCTTTCTAGTTTAGCATGAATTAAAGATGTGTTTCAATCTTTTTAGCATACAGTTTATGTCAAGGTAAGACATTCTTGTACTTCCATCGTTATTTTAATTTATTTTTTAGGTTATCTTTTTTCTTTTTATTCCTCTTTTGTTCTCTCTCTCTCTCTCGAGACGAATCCAAATAGTCGTTCAATGCATGCATCGCTTTTCAACTCGACTTTTCGTTCGCTCGACGATCTTTATTTTTTTTTTTATTATTTTTCTTTTTTTATCTCGAAACAACCGATAACTCTCTTTATAGAAACTTAGTCCCGCTATCTATCTATTGGCAAACAGTGATCACGTGATCAACGTTACAATCATTGTTCTAATATTGATTCCGTCGATCACGCTGTTGATGGATGTTCCTCCAACAGGAAAAACGAAGATTATCGCGTTGTTACATGATTTGATCCGCGTGTCGAATTTATTATTATTCTTATTACGACGAGCCTTAATTGTGCATCTCATGCATACGCCTGCTCCTTTGATTGGCTGCTGCAATTCGAGCAAGCTGCGTTGTTTGCCCAATGTTTCATTGGCATTGTCTTTTAGCTGTTTTTGATAGAAGTAGCGTGCAATGTTACGTTTGAGAACAAGATCCAACACGATTCAAAGATATCATCATTCAAATCCTTCTCCTCCTAACCTCATTTTTCTTCAAATTTCCACCCACAAACAAATTGTGCATGCGTTCAATATCCATTCAATTTATCACCATCCGAATCAATTTGTCATTAGACTCGATAATTATTCTCCTTTTTTATCTATAATTAACGCGATACTTGAAATGCTGTTTGCCATAGGTGAGAATCTTGGTTGCTTCGGGGGCAGCAAGAAGAAGAAGGACGGGCAACCGGTGCAAAAAGAGACGACCGCGTCGCGCACAACGACCAGCCCGAGAACCGAGCCTGTCAGGGGCATGGAGCTCCTCTGGCAACCAGAGGTGGTCCAATCCTATCTGAAGTTGTTGCAGACATGCTCGAATCCCGAGACCCTCGAGGCGGCGGCAGGCGCGCTTCAGAACCTCGCAGCCTGTTATTGGCAGCCCAGTATCGAGATTCGGGCTGCTGTGAGAAAGGAGAAAGGGCTTCCCATTTTGGTGGAGCTGCTGCGGATGGAGGTAGCTTGGTTATTATTTTGAGCAAGCGTGTTAGAATTATATATATATATTTGGGTGTCTTATAAGCTTCACATTTGTTGTTTAAGGTTAGGTTGGTTTATACGAACCGTTATTATTCCCTCTTTTCAAAATTGTTGGGACTTACTTATAAAATAATTCTTTGAGAAGAGGGGAGAAGCGGTATTGCATCGTCGGTTAGCCAATTCTGGCCGTTTTTTTATGGCGGGTTTCAACTTGTCAAGCTGATTGTTCAATATTTTGCAGAATTGATGGTCTTGCCTTGAGGAAGGAGCTTGTAATGGACTACACCTTTCCAGTTTCATTAAATGGAGAAAAGAACTTTCTGAGGAAGTCCGGCTTTGTGACAGTTGAAGATCTATTGATCTATCCTTAAATCAAGCGTGTTTTCGATGGACGTTTTGGTACAAAATTCAAGCCTCTTTAAGAAAGAATCTCTTGGAGAAGTAAATTGCATTTAGAGATGATTTCCGTCGATAATCGTGGAAACCAAACTTTACATCAATCCATATATATGTCTCATTCTGATCGGATAGTATCCACTGATTTACATGGCTTTGATAAATCTCTTAAACCAATTGCGAATGGTTGTAATAGTCATAGCACCACTGCAGTATCATTTGCACTATCATCTTTTTCAAAGTAATGAAGCATAACATGCAACAAATACTTCCTTTGATTATATTGAACGGTGTGGAAAAAAGTTTTAAAAAAGACCAACGAAACGTATTTTAAAAGAGCTCTGGGACCATTGAAATTAGCCATAAACGGTTAATAGATAAGCCTTATATAAAAGTAGCCAGTTAAAGTCATTCCTAAGAAGAAATTTATGGGACATCCTCATATATATTATAGATTAAGACTTGTCAAAACGTAGAATAATAAGTATACTAATTTCATTAATAAGTGATTTAAAATAAAACGTTTTGAAATAGGTGGACCGCGTGGTCTGCGCCGTGGCCACGGCTCTCAGGAATCTCGCGATAGATCAGCGGAATAAAGAGCTGATAGGAAAATACGCGATGCGCGATCTCATTCAGAAATTACCCTCGGGGAATAATCAGCACGATCAAGGAACCAGCGACGATACGATCGCCGCTGTCCTCGCCACGTTGAACGAGGTGATCAAGAAGAACGCCGAGTTTTCGCGATCTCTGTTGGACGCTGGGGGTGTCGACAGACTGATGAATATCACCAGGCAACGCCAGAAGTACACGCCCCGTGTTCTTAAATTTGCAGGCAAGAATAATGGATGGATAAAAATGTTGCAAGCATTGAGACAGGATTGAGGAGGAAGCGTATAACAAGTTGTATTAATTTTTAGGACAAGTCTTGTTCACAATGTGGCAGCACCAAGAGTTGAGAGATGTTTATAAGAAACATGGTTGGAAGGAGCAAGATTTTGTAACGAAAACAGTGGCTGCGCGGAATTCAGGGCCTAATTCACCCAACAACGCGAATAGGTAAACTCAATCTCGTCGATCCAAACGTTTCAATAATTTCAATCTTTTCGATTTTTTCTTAAAACCCACCACCAATCTTTTATTTTTGTCGTTTTCGTTCCTGGACTCCGCGCTCTTAACTTTTGAGTATATGCTTCTCCCATTTACTCTCTTTACTTTTGTTGGATAGAGAAATTTTCTTCTTTTTTCTTTTGAGCGGAGTCCACACCCGTATAGGATTCTCGAACTTTCTCGATCCTGCGTTAAATTTAGCTATGATTGTAGCACGCTGAATCGACCGATGGCGAGTCAAGGGAGCACCAGATACGAGGACAGAACGATCCAGAGAGCGAACATGAATTCGAATAACGTTGGTCGACCTACCATTTATCAGCCTGTAAGTAACAACAACTAATGGTACCGAATGTGACGAACAATTTGGCCGTGTCATGTCCGAAAGGGGGGCACGTTTCTGGCGAAACGTGAACGAAGACGTGGCAAGAGATATCTCGCTGCATATTTCGTTCCACTCTCGTTACTCGTCGCTGTTCGTTCGATTCGCAGTTACCAGGGTTTGAGTTGGCAAGCGATTGATAAAAAAAAAAAAAAAAAGGAGAGAAACGTCCAGAGAAGAGATGAAAAAACGACGAGCTTTGTAAGACGAAAGTACAGATCGATCGATAAAAATGTCTCTCAGTCGATAAACTCGCCGCTATTTATATTTTCAATGGATTCAACGATCAAAACAGGTTCTTAATTTAATTTTTCTTTAACTCTCTTAAAAATCGATTCTTATCTCGCATTGTACATCATTGTCAAATTTTCTTATTTCTTTTTCTCTTTGATGCTTTTTCAAATGTACCATTTTTACCATTACCGTATTCGCAAGAGCAGAGGAAAGAGGCACCATTTCTTTGCCAACTAAGTGCCGGATTAAGGATAATTGAGCGAATGATAATTATCGTGCCCTGTCAAGAATTGATCGCTGTTGTATTTATCCGCTTTACGGATATCGACAGGGAAGAGAAAAAATAAAATAAAATGATCATAGCGAAGAAAATGAATGAAGAAGGAATGACAATGTGTGGTATATACGCAGTTGTGATACGAAATGAATTGAAAGAGAGAGAGAGAGAGAGGAAGAGAACAGTTACTTAACGTATATAAACTAAGTCAATTAACGAGTACCAATTATATATCATCGCGTTTCACGGTTACACGGAAGCCGCATTATTCGTATAGAGAAGTATTACACCAGTATTAACAGAGAGAGAAAGAGAGAGAGAGAGAGAAAGAGAGTGAGTGAGAGTGAGAGTGAGAAAGAGAGAGAGAGAGAATGGATCGTATTAAGCGGTCGTGTTAAAACAGTCCATGGGATTATCGAGTATTTAGCATTTTTTTTTACATATAAATAATCGATCGATTACGTAATACGCGGACAGATCTCGTCGTTATCGACGCGTAACACTGAGGATTTGTCGTTGTTGCGTTGTCGTGCGAGAGATAACTAGCGCGCATAATGAAATACTATTTTGCTGTTGCAAAAATCGAGAGGAAGAGAGCGTATACGCTCAATCGATAGATGTCGTTTCGTTTGTGAATGCCTCTTCGAATTGTTCGTTACAAATATTCATTCGTCACGGAATTGCTTGCGAATTGTAACGAGGAAATTTTTGGACTCATTTCGATATATATAGAAGTTATACATATGGAAGTTAAAGCATTGCAAGTGTATCTCTGATTTTATTACACGATTGTATAAGAGGTTAGTTGTTGCAGGACCAAGTACTTTGCCAGTATCGATTAGGAAGCGCATCGAGGCCGAATTGAACGAAAAATCTGATTTCTTTCCAAAATTCGATAATCCTTGCTACTCTGATCTGATCAGAGGAATAAAGGAAGGCTGATGATGCGCGCTGCCTAATTGAGGTTAGAACAGTAGCGTGACAGCATATATATATCGTTCCATTATCGACAAGTTCTAGTGGAGTTAATTTCGACTGGTTAACCTATAATTAATTCAGAGTCTATACGGTAAGAGTAATGTTAGAGAGAGAGAAAGAGAGAGAATAAAAATGAAAAAGAAAAAGAACGCACGATCATCACGATTTTTCCAATTTTTAAACGAGCAGGGTAAAGTTAAACACAAAAAAAAGCACAAAAAAATATATATATAATTCACGGTTCACATTCGTTCGGAAGAGGTATTCTATTCTTTCTTCTTCTTCTTTTTTTTTTTTTTTTTTTCTTCGATTATATACAAACGCGCATAGACAGACACACACACATATACACACACTCATTAAGCGACTTTCATCGTATCGAGAGAAGAGGTAGACGCACCACGTCGAAGCATGATTTATAGTTGACACGTTGACTATTGCACGAACTTATTTATAATCTATTTATATCCAAATTAACCGAGCATAATAATAAAAGAGTATCTGACAGTATCCCATCAATTTGATTCATTGGTATGTACAACTAGTTCAACAGTGTTTTCCTTTTTTTCATTATACAGAATCTCATCATCTCTCCTCCTTTTTTAATTGTCGTTGCTCTTTGTTCGACGACGGGGTTGTCTTATCGTTTCATAATTTTTTCAAATTCTTCCAGAGATCTCATTTTAACCGCCCCCTTTTTTTTTTCTTTTCTCAATCAAGCTCATTCACCTATCCTTCGTATAAATATAAACTTACATACAAAAGTAAGTAATGATTACTAAAATTCTTATATATATATATAAACATATTCCAAAGAAAAAAAAAAAAAAATAAAAAGATACGATTGTACGAATAGCGGTAGCCTTCCTTACCTTTCCTATGGCGAATTTAAAAAATATTTAAAAAAAAAAAAAAAAAAGGAAAAGATCACAGGAACCAAGTAAAAAAAGACGAGAGAAAAAGAACCGGACCCGATCGTCTCGAAGAGCGGCCCACCCCCGACCGATCCACCCCCGGCTACCCTCCGAGCCAGGGCTCTAACTAACCGTTGGCTTGTGTGTGTGTTGCAGCAACCGAAACCCGGTGAGCCGCTCTACGCGCAAGTTAACTTGGAGAAGAAAAAGAAGCGGCAGTATGAGCTGGGGGTGGGCCAGGCGCAGGGTCAGGGGCCGGTGGTCGGCTCGGGGGTGGCGCCCAGTGTGCCCGCGGCCGGCCAGTGGGTGGCCGACGGCGTGGGCGTCCCCGACGGCTCGGCCGCCACATCGACGGTGAACGTGCCACCCAACTCGACGGCCGCCTCCGCGGGCGACTCCTGGGTATAACAGGCCCTTGTCCAGGATCCAACCGCCAGGATCCCTTCCTCGAGGCTGCCCCAGAATCGGAACAACGTTTCCTCCCCACCCCCCAGGGGGGAGAATTAGAGGAGGAGCACTCTCTGCTGCTTTCGTTTCCGACGAAGAGGGGGGGAGAGGGGGGAAGTCTGGATATCGGAGGGATTGAATGATAGAGAGGGCATTGAGCATGGACGACATTTTATTATTAATTAAGAGTTTTCTCTTCTTTGTCCGGGTTAGTTTCCTCATCGAGAGAAGAATAGGAGAAGAAGAAGAAGAAGAAGAAGAAGAAAAGGAAGAGGATGTAGTGAGGAAGGGGAGATTTTTGGGTCGTCGAGTATATCTGCTCGAGGCGTATATCATATTCTTTCTTTGGGAAAGAGCAATAGAGAGACGGGAATATAGAAATTTGTTTTTGAAGGAAAAGAAGAAAAAAGGAAAAAAAAAAAAAAAAAGAAATCGCACTCCGCACCCCCATGTTATTATATCGATGTATAGTAGATGAACATTAGTAAGGAACGAAAAGGGAAAAAAAAAAAAGAAAAAAACAGCGACTTGTCCGACCACATCCGCAGCAGTAGTCGCACCAATGGCTCTAAACCTTCATTGCACAATTCTAAATTAATATATACTATATATATATATAAATATAAATATAAATATTATATATATATATATATACACTCACACTTACACAAACACATACAAACACATACACACATGTATATTTTAACAACGGTCAAGATAACGGGATAAGAATGAACCTCGTGGCCGTTAAAATTACTACTAAGGATAAGTAGGCGGTATTATTACGATTATTATTATTATTATTATTATTATTATTATTATTATTAATATCATCAAGTACGATGCGGTGGTGTTGCCGCCGTTATAAATACAGGAAGGGTATAAAAATGAATGAATATATATAAATATATTATATATATATATAGAGATATATTATACATACACCACGGTACACCACGATCACAGACACGCGATTAGACAGCGCATCGATTACTTATTATTATTATTATTATTATATTATTATTGTATTACGTAAACTTCTGAGGCTGTGGGTGTGGCATGTTACACGATGATGTTTCGAATATTTGCGAGCTGCACTTTTTATTTTTTTTCTTTTCTCCGATTTTTTTTCCCAATTGAGTGTGCGCGAGAGAGAGAGAGAGAGAGAATGCGTGAAAAAGGAAATGAGAAACAAAAAAAGGAGAAGAAAAGAAAGAAGAAAGAAAATGGAAAATGGATGAGAGAGAGAGAAAGAGAGAGCGAGCTACCATTCTGATACTTTTGTCTGCCTGTCCGTATATAAAAAAAAAACTGTCCACTCGCGAACGTAGTAACGTAAGAAAAAGAGAAGAGAGAAAGAGAGCGAGCGAGTGAGCGAGCGAAAGAGAGAGAGAGAGAGAGAGAAGAAAAAGGTATCTTAAAAAAGTCTGCATTTATTCTCGAGAAATAAGACAGAAAGATAAGAAGCAAGATGAGCAAAGAGGAGAGAGAGAATTTTTTATGGTTCTTCGCTGTTATTGTACTTCTTCATATTCTAGATTATCGCGATAAAAATGATTCGAAATAGAAAAGAGAGAGAGAGTGAAAAAAAAGGATGGCGAAAATGGAGGATGGAGGAAAGAGGGGGTTTAACGAAAGTATAAAGAACGGATAAAGTGGGAATAATGTGATGTTCAATGTTATCAGAATGTTTGACAGAGATGACATTATTGATAGCCGATATACATATTATATATATATATATAGATATATATACATATATATTATATATATACAAATAAATATATCCTTGTTCTATTTCTTAAATAATATTATTACGACAGTTGAAAGAGAATAAAAAGAAAAGAAAAGAAAAGAAAAATCGAGTGTGTTCGCGATTAACGATTATATAATAGTCATCAGAGAGAGAGAGAGAGAGAGAGAGAGAGAGAGAGAGAGAGAGAGAGAGAGAGAGAAAGTATAACATCAACGCGCGAAGCGCGTTAAAAAAATTATTATGCACGATTGATAATTCACCTTCGTCGAATTCAGAATTATATATACACAAATCTATATATATATATACACATACACGTACACACACACACACACATACACAGAGTTAGAAGAAAAAGTATGATATAAACCGTTTCTTCGCGGTCACGATCGATCTAAAATTGAAAGAGAGAGAGAAAGAGAGAGAAAAAGAAAGATAAGAAAAGAAAAATCGATCGATCCCGTCTATCGTCGTCTCGCTGTATAACCGGTCAAAATCCAAAGCGTCGTTCATCCTTTATCTCCTCGATCTCTGTCATCCATACGTAGTCGTCCATACGCACTTTATCCCGTATTTTGTACATACATGCATACATACATACATACATATATATATATATATATATTCATCCTCCGCGTGTTCAATGGAGGATCTCACGAGATCGAACGAGAGACGAGATCGAATAATCGGAAATAATCGGAACGTACGATCGTAGACGAGAAGCAAGAAGCGGAAAGCTGTATTTCGCCAGGTAATACTCTCGATAACGGGTAATCGATCGATCGACCCTCCTCGAGGAGGAATCGAAGCGAGCTAATCGCGCGATCGTTTCTGCTCCCTTTCGCAATGCCACCGTTTTAACATCGCTGTTACAACGTATATCGCGACCAGGCGAGACATCGTTACGATATATATATATATATATATATATATATATATACACGAAGCAGTGTTTCATCGCGACGATTCGTAACGAATCTGTAGCAGAAACGAGGGCGCGTTTCGAGTTGTGAAGCGAATTAAAAAGAAAAAAAAGAAAAAAAAGAAAAACCTCGCGTCTCGAAGAGAGGCGAATCATTTTCGAGCTTATCGTACGGATCCTGTTACCAGATCCTCCGGCGCGCCAATTCGCCTCTTAGAGGGCGCCTCTTGGACCATTCCGCTCAACGTGACACGCGCGGCTCCGATCAATCCTCGCCCCCCTCTTCCACCTTCTTCTTCGAATCCTCAAGCTCGGAATTCGAAATTCGTTCGAGGAACATTGGAATTGAATGGAATTGTTAACGGAAAGTTAATTTTCAAGGATTGGAATTTCTTTTTTTATTATTATTATTATTATTATTATTTTTTTTTTCTTTTGAAGAATTACAAATTCTTTTGAAGAATTACAGAACGGGATCGAAATCGTATTCGAGGATAAAATTGATCGAGATCGGCGACGTTCGTTGGAAGGTGTTGGTTGGGTGGGTCGAGGGGGATCGGGGGAGCCGCCACGATCTACACGAACGAAACGAACATTTTTGATATCCGCTTTTTTATTGTTTTCACGTACCAGCGTTTCTAATTTTCTACGAGGATTCTAACGAGCGAGAGAGAGCGAGAGTGAGTGAGTGAGTGCGTGCGTGCGTGCGTGTGTGTGAGAGAGAGAAAATTGGTGGAGGGAGAGACGAAGGATTTTTGTAAAAGTAGTCTGTGGAGTGACGCGCTCGCAGAAAAAGAAGAAAAAAAGAAAAAAAAAATGAAAAAAATGAAAAAAGAAAAAAAAAAGAAAAATTCGTTCGAAGAAAATGTCGCACGGTGGGAAGGCTGACCAACTTGAGAATTTGCATTTTTGCAACAGGAAAAACTTGAATCGTTTCAAATGGAAATTTTTAAATATCGCTCGGATCATTTTTCGAATTTTATCTTCGTACATATCTTGGAATCGATTTGTCGATTGATTTAAATGATAAAATTGATTTTCGTCCCTACTTTTTTTAAAGAAATTTCACCATGTGTTTTCGAAATTTTTCTTTCCAAAATTTCTATATATATATATATAAAATACTTTTTCGAGAGGAGCCAAGTTTCCAGATATTCCAAGCATTGTTGTTCGGCCTTCGACAAGAGGAGGGAGGAAAGTGGAAAAAAAGGGGAAAAAAAAAAAAAAACGAAAAAGAGCGTCCGGAATTTTTGAAACGCGATTTTACTAGCGATTTTTACGTCGTTTTTTACACGGTTCTCGCCGGCCTAAGGAGCTGTCCTTTCCACGAACGGCTGCTCGTGCATTTGCCGCTTTCTCGCGGCGCAGACCTCGCGGAGATCGATTTAAAAAAAAAAAATTATCCCCTAAAAAAAAAAAATATATATATATAAAATATTATATATTGTATTAAATCGAGGGGAAAATTGTTGGTAAAAAATTTCCAAAAATCTATTATTCTCTTGGAATCGAATCGAGATAAAAATCTCGAAATTTTTTCCGCAACGCAAATATATCTTTCTTTCTTCCCATTTTTCCAAAGAATAAAATTCTTTGGATATATTTCAAAAAAATTTTAATCGATCGATCTTCGATTCTGCGCCGGGCGAAGATCCCAGATTTCACCCTTCACCGCGATCATCGTCACCGATCACTCGGAAGAAGACTGATAGCGCAAAACAAACGAAAAAAAAATCTCGAGTGACTCCATCAAGACCGCTCCATCAACAACAACCTCGAAAAGGAAGGAAGGAAGGAAGAGAGAGAGAGAGAGAGAGAGAGAGAGAGAGAGAGAGAGAGAGAAGGAACGAGGAGGGAAATTCCACGCGAGTGTGTGCGATCGACTGGCGAGACTCGTACGAGTAGAAGGAAATTTTTCAAATCACGGAGGGAGAAGAAGAAGAGGAAGAAGAAGGAAGAAAAACGAAAGAAAAAAAAGAGTGAGAGTTAAACAAGAAAGAGGGAAGAAGTCTTCACGTATCCCACGTATTACACGTTACATACACACTTACGCATACATATACACGTATAATACACATACGTGCGACGCGTAATAGGAAGAAAGAGAGGGAGAGAAAGAGGAGAAGAGCGAGCGAGAGGGAGCGAGCGAGCGAGAGAGAACGAAAAAGAAAGAGAGAGAGAGAGAGTGAGTGACACAGAGACACGTGCATAAAGGAATAATAGAAAAAGGATAGAAAAAAAAAAAAAGGAAAATAATAAAAAAAAAGAAAAAAAAAAAAAAAAAAAAAGACTAGGCTACTACTACAGTGCTGCATACGTATTTAAATTAAAGGATAATGCATTTAAATAAGCATGGATGTGCATTCTTAGATGTATTAGAGGAGTTTCACCACACCACATTTAGTATTAATTATGTAAAAGCGATTGTAGTCCGACGTGGGGGAGGGGGGAGGGGGGCAGGTGGAGAGTCTTTGAAAATTCCTTCCTTCGCTCTCTCTTTTTCTTTTTTTTCCTATTCTGTTTTGCGAAGGAAAAGAAAATATTTCGTGTAATTTTTTTTTTTTTTTTTTTCTCATCGTTTCGTTCGATTGGAAATAAGAAAGGAAGAACTCGTCGAAATATTTTTTATTCGACGGGTATAATAAGTTTCTTCCTCCTCGAAGGCTTCTCCTCCCCCGCCGAACGCCCTCCCTTGAGAGAAACCGCGGTGGGGATTTTCATCGTTTCACCATCATTGTATCACCTTCATCGCCGTTTTTATTTATCTCGTACGTGTTTTACGCAACTTATCGACGACAAACAATTACTAAATGAAGTAGATATATATATGTATATAATATGTATATATATATATATATTATACATGTAATATATATATATATATATATATTATAATATATATATACACACACATATATATATATAAATATAAAATTTGTTAAGACGGAGGGGGGAAGACGAAGAGCAAACATATTGTCATTATTTTATCGACGTCGTATTATTTATATCGGAGGAGTACCACAGTATATACAATAATTAATAAAAAAAAAAAAAGATCGACTAGTGTATTTCGAACCCGACTGACAACAATTAAAGAATTTAATTGCGCTGAAGCTGCCCTACATTCTTTTACTATCCCATATATACATATACATATACATACATATATATATATATATATATATATATATATATCGAGGAAAAAGAGGATGAAAATATATTTTCCTTTCCTTTCCTTATTTATTTAAAATCAAATTTCCTTACCGAATTAAATAATTTTGGATCAAACTTTTAAAAAAAAAAAAAAAGATACAATTTTTTTTTTCACCGGTTAAAGCGAATTAACCGTAATTTAACTCGAAACGGTGTTAGCACGAGGAGAGGGAGGGAACCTAACTTCGATTCGAAGCGTGTGGGATAAATCGTTAAATCGAAGAATGCAGATTGTCAATTCCCCTTCCTCCTCCTCCTCCTCCTCCTCCTCCTCCTTTGCCAGTTATTTTTTTTCTTTTTTTTATTTCTTTACCTTCGAAACTCAAACGAGGAATCGAAGGATCGAGAATATTTTTTTTTTTTTAGAAAGCAAGTGGAAAGTATTATATGCATTTCTCTGGAAAAATTGATCGAGGGAGGGAGGGAGAGGGAGGAGGCGATAAGGGGTTGGTTGGGATGATTGTATTTTAACAAGGAAATTCTCACGGCTCGGTGACCACGAGCCACCTGCTCCACCAGTGATAAGGAAGCGACGCGCGCGCGCACAGAGAGGGTGTCCTTCCTCTCTCCTTCCCCCCCCTCTCCTCTTTCTTTTTTCTTTTTTACATTCGATTCAACACTCCGCAAAATAGAATATCCATTTTGCAGGTTATCAATTTTTTCGTCGAAATGCCGAATTTTTCTTCAACTCTGGTGGAGAAGATTGAAAAAAAGTTGAGACGATTTTTATCGGTTAATTCTCTCTTCACTTTCTTTTTTTTTTTTTTTTTCTTCTCATCGTAGCAGAAATCGTCTCCGCGTTGGATGCTTGTCCAACGCAGTTTCGATCCCGTTTTCAATCAATCCCACGGGTTCTTGCTCATTTCACACCCCCGCGCTCGCATCACACCCCCGTGGCGCGCAACCGTGTCCTTTTTTCCCCCCTTGTGTGCGCGGAACCCGCTGCGAAAGGAACAACCCCATCGGAGCACAGTTGCGCTCCGACTTCGCACAGGACCGCTCTCCGCTCTCCCCCTTTTGGAAAATTTTAATAAGGAAAGAAGAAAACAATAGTAAACTCCGCGAAAGTGAACGATCGATCGATAAAAATAATCGAGTCGCGATCCTAGAGAGAGAGAGAGAGAGAGAGAGAGAGACAGAGAGAGGGATTTTTGGAAAATTTTAAAAAGAAAAAAAAAATAGCAGTAAATTCCGCGAAAGTGAACGAACGATCGATAAAAACAATCGAGTTGTCAAATTCCAGAAAGAGAAAGAGAAAGAGAGAGAGAGAAAGAGAGGGATTTTTGGAAAATTTTAAAAAGAAAAAGAAATAGCAGTAAACTCCGCGAAAGATAAAAACAATCGAGTCGTGATTCCAGAGAGAGAGAGAGAGAGAGAGAGGGATTTTTGAAAAATTTAAAAAAAAAAAAAATAGCAGTAAACTCCGCGAAAGTGAACGATCGATAAAAACAATCGAGTCGTGATTCCAGAAAAAGAGAGAAAGAGGATTTTTAGAAAATTTTAAAAAGAAAAAGAAATAGCAGTAAACTCCACGAAAGATAAAAACATTCGAGTCGTCAGATTCCAGAGAGAGAGAAAAAGAGAGGGATTTTTGAAAATTTAAAAAAAAAAATAGCAGTAAACTCCGCGAAAGTGAACGAACGATAAAAAGAATCGAGTCGCGAATTCCAGACAGAGAGAGAGAGAGAGAGAGATTTTTGGAAAATTTAAAAAAAAAAAGAAAAACAACAATAAATTTCGAAAGATAAAAACAATCGAGTCGCGAGAAATCCCAGAGAGACAGGGATTTTTGAAAAATTTAAAAAAAAAAAAATAGCAGTAAACTCCGCGAAACGAACGATAAAAAAACGATAAAAAGAATCGAGTCGCGAATTCCAGAGAGAGAGAGAGAGAGAGAGAGAAAGATTTTTGGAAAATTTAAAAAAAAAAAGAAAAACAGCAGTAAATTTCGAAAGATAAAAACAATCGAGTTGTGATTTCAGAGAGAGAGAGAGAGAGAGAGAGAGGTATTTTTGGAAAATTTAAAAAAAAATTTAAAAAATTTAAAAAAAAAAATAGCAGTAAACTCCGCGAAAGTGAACGAACGATCGATAAAAAGAATCGAGTCACGATTCCAGAGAGAGGGAGAGAGAGGGAGAGATTTTTGGGAAAGAGGGAGGGAGGGAGAGGGTGGATATCGTTGATAATCGCCATGATGGACGCGAGCGGGAACCGAGCGACGGCGGCGAGGGAGGACGTATCTGGGAAAAGATGGCGCGATGTGGAGCACGCGAGGAAGGAGCTGGCCTCCGTGATCGAGAGGATCGAGGGGACGAGCGGCCTCGCCGACCGCCCCGTGAAATATTTTCGGGCGCGGCGGCTACTCGCGCGCCCAACGAAACCTCGGTCGAGCCTCTTCCCCCTCCTCCTCCCAACAATAGGCGGGAGACACCTGTGGATCCTCGCCTCGATCCTCGCTTCGATCCTCGGACGATCGGCTTGGAATTACGGGCAAGCCGCGCGTCACCACAAGGTGAGCCCTTAATTCTTCTTTTCCCTTTTTTCTTTCTTTCTTTCTTTTGGAACAGATTAATCAAATTTAACAGTGATAGTAGTTTCTTTCCTTTCTTCCTTTCCTTTTTTTCGAAGAGCGAAGATGAAGAAATTGAAATTTTTGTCAAAAGTGTTTGGCCGAGCTGCCCCCGTTCACGCAGAAAATATTCCGGCCGGCCGAGGATTGCTCGATCTGTACGGGGGTGGAACAGGTGGACAGGATATTCGACGTGGATCCATCCGCTTTCGAGGAACGGTATATTTAATTAGCTACTTTCGAGGCGAATTTTTTTAAAAAAAATTGTAATTTTTTGTTTTTCACTACTCCTCTCTCTTCTCTTTTCTCCTTTCTTTGTCTTGGGGGCGGGGGCGGGGGGATGGGGACAGATACGCCTATTCAGGAAGGCCCGTAGTGGTCGTGGACGCGACTATTAATTGGACGGCGACGGAGGTATTCTCGTTTCATTTCTTCAAGTCGTTGTACGAGGGCGTGGACGGGAATTGCCAATTTTTCCCGTACAGAACCGAGTTCAAGAGTCTTCGGGACGTGTTCGAGATGAGCGCCGACCGATCATTGTTGGAGGAGGGGACGGAGCCTTGGTACGTTGGCTGGTAAGTGAACGTATATTGTTATTAATTGAAGGGAAGGGGAGGAATTTTCTTTCGAGGTTCCCTTTTTGCTCTATCCCTGGGAAGAGATAATTATATATATTGGATTAGATATTTTAAAGGACGTTGTCGAAACGGGCGTTGAAAACAAAATAGAAAAATATATAGGGGAATAAGAGAACGCTGGGCGCCCGTGAACGAGGCAGTTTTGGAGCTTCGACAACCGTTCTAAAACTCGCACGTATGCGCACAATCCGGCTAACGAGCTTACCGACAAGCTATATATATCTGTGTATCCCGTGTATATTGAAACAATTACCTAGAAACTCGAATTCGTGTCTATCTGCGTTGCTACATTTCTTTTTTTTTTTTTAGTACCAACTCAAACTCGTTCGTCCATTTCATTTCACCTTTCTGCAATTAATCGTAATTTCAGATCAATTGTCGAATTATTCGAAAACTCGAATTCGTGTATTCATTGCTATTTTTTATTTTAACGCGAACTCGAATTCCTATTTATATTATTTATATCCCCTCGATAATTTTCGTCTCGATGTTCGCGCGTATCTTCCTTCCCTCGTAATCTCCATTTAATTACATGGGACATGAAATTTCCAGGAGTAATTGCGACGAGGAAATCGGCAGTTTGCTAAGGCAGCATTACCAGAGACCTTATTTCCTTCCAGCCACGGCAGAGACGGAGAAGACCGATTGGATTTTTATGGGTAGCCACGGATATGGGGCCCCTATGCACGTGGGTGACAATGCATGCGTTTCGCGCGTATCGAGTTTTATCGACGATGCATTCGTATTCTTTTCTCCTTTTTGCCAGGTCGACGACGTAGAACACCCCTCGTGGCAGGCGCAGATCAAGGGCGAGAAATTGTGGATTCTCGACCCTCCCAGGGAGTGTCATTACGCTTGCAACAGATTGGAGGTGGTTGTGCATCCCGGTGAAATAAGTAAGACATCTCCGTTTCCTCGATCGAGCACCAATTCCTTTAATTCTCGTTCAATTTCTTCTCCACAAACAGTTGTTCTCGACACGAACCGCTGGTACCATCAGACGGTAATCGTGTCCGAAGAGATGAGTATCACCATCGGTGCGGAGTACGATTGAAACGGCGAGACGATCGTGCCACGTCTCCTCGAAACGTATAGATAAATAAAGATATTTTCCCTTCACTCTCATCGACACCTTCGATCCAGAAATTTAATTTCCATCCAGCCCTGTGTAATTCCAATTAATACTCTCATCTACTTAGAAGAAAGAACTTTAACTGTCCACAATTCGCTATTAAGAAAGAAGTGTTTAGAAAAGAAAACTCGTATTCGTCACGTATATCGATCCAAAACGAGTAGCGTATCTAAACCTTCATTTAGCATCGTAGAACCCACAGAACTCTGACGTATCGACGTAGCAACATAAAAACTTTTTTACTCCTTCTTAATGTACACTACCACGTATTCGAGATAACGATATACGAATAAGCTGCTGAAACTATACCATACATAGTCTCGCAAATGAAACTCATTTTTTGAACGATCATATTACACACCGCTTTCATCGCGTGTACGTAGCAGCGTAGAAGGAATATTTCGATAACACGTGGAAAGATACGACCTTTGACCAATTCCATAATCCACAATAACCGAGCCAAGGATTTCATCGAGGCGGGCAGTTGATCGGTTTCCTTCTCGAGAGGAGAGGGCGGTTGTTGGAACACGCGTCGGGTAACGCACGATCGTGAAGGAGGAGGGGGGGATTAGGGAGAGGCAGGGAACCCCCGCGGCAGCCACCACCTGCCGCCAGGTGCGAGTTGACGGGACATCTGCACGAGGGACCCGTGCCGTCCCGTTTCCTTTTTCACCGTCCTCGCCAATTCACGGGGGCCCCGAACATTTAGGTGTCTGTCTGGAGTACAGGCTTATTATCGGCTGGGTTAATTGGCCCAAGCTGGCGATCCAATTGCTAGCAACGTGTTTGTCTTCGAATGGACAATAGAAAATCGTTCGATTATGTTCGATTGGGTTAAATGGGATGGTATCGTTACGGGGAGCGAATTTTTTGAAAGTCTCTTTTTTTTTTTTTTTTTTGGTCGAGAAAAATAACGAGGATATTGTATTAATTGTAACAAAAATTTTAGATATTGATTATCGGCGAAAAAAGCTCGAGAAAGAAAGAGATATATATATATATATATACACGATACTGTATTTACGGCTTTTTTATTCTTTGTGTCGAGGTTTGAATAGCTTATAGCCTTTGCGTGGGCGGATTACGTAATTCGCGTGTATCGCGTAGATTTCGAAGTAGCCGGTTAATATTGAGATCCGAGTGGAAACTTAAATCTCTCCAATTGAGAGAGATTTAAATATTCAATTTTTATATTATACGGAGGAAAGAAAGAGAGATGATAAGTCGTGAGGGGCGAGATTCCTGTCCAACTAGGACAGAAGAGAAGAATAGGGAACAAAAAAATGGGCGGAAACGATAGGGGAGGAGGGGAGGAGGGGGGGAGGATGCATCGAAGGAGGCCCGAGGGCTTCCTGTTTCAACCTAATTACATTCCATTCGATGCAGGGGGTAAGGGGGAGGCGGGTTGGACGCGCAACAAAATCTCGTTAATTCATAAAAATTCTCGGTCCGTTTCGCGGCTTTCTTTTTGCCCGCGCGAAATTAAAATCCCCGCGCGCGGCGGTCGAATAATCGATAACGTAGGAACGCGCGCGGGATTCCCTCGATCGAATTTCTCTTTTTCGTTTTTTTTTCTTTTTCTTTTTCGTTGAACCCACGGCTAAAAACGCGTTGCTGATTTTAAATTTGATTTTATCTTTATTAATTTCAAAAATTCCATTTCCATTTATTTCGCGAAATGTAAAAAAAAAAAAGAAAAAAAGAAAAAATCTTTCGTCGAAGAAGATCAGATCGAATGTTCTTACGAACGTTTCTGCCAATTTTCAGCCGGAACGAGCAATGGGAACAAGAAGATCGTGTTTAGGAAAGAGGTCGAGCCCAAGTTTTTTTAAACGAGCACCGAATGAACCGTTTCCGTTCAAGCAGAGGCGAATTTTAAATGCTTCCTGGAACGTGTCTTCGATATTTCGATATCATCGCTCAGAGAGGGATGGAATTTCGATTCACCGATTCCAAACAAATCCTCTTTTCGTTCTCCCCAAAGAAAAAATTCAACTTTCCAAAGAACGAATGTAAAAACACGAATGCGCGAATCCCGGGATTCGAAACGACAGGCGAGTTTGAAGAGAGATTTCTCGGTCGATAAAGAAGATCGAAGAAGTTTTCGAGGGAAACTCGCGTGTTTGCGGCACACTTTCGGCAAATTTCAATGGCCGTCGAGGGTATAGGGGCGCGATGACCACCGAGCGACGGTTGGCAGTAATGGCCCGTGTGCACGTGTGTGTGTGTGTGTATGTATGTGTGTGTGTGTGTGTAGCTACGACGTACGTTTCGACCCCCTTCCACGATCGCGCGCGACCTCTCTCACCCGTTTGCGGCCATGTACAAATTTCACGTTAGGTACATATGGTTTCCCTGTTCTCGCGTCTTGCTTTCTCTCTGGCCACGCCAACAACAACCAACTACAACGCGCTGCTGTTCTTCGCGTCTCCCTCGACCCGTTTCTCCCTCTTCCTCGCTCCTCCTCGCCCACGTTTCCGTCTCTCTGTCGTTCCATATACTTGCGGTCGCGCATACTTGGCGTGCATACGCGTATACGTGTGTGTGCGCGCCCGCTCGCTCGCCACTGTCTCACCCTTCCTTCCTCTCACCCTCCCTCTTTCGAGGGATATGTACGGTTTCACACAAACGCTTCACTCCGGTGGTCGTGTACAAATTTTTTTCTACCCCCTGTCTTTACGCTTTCCATGCATCTCGAATTCTTCTTCTTCTTTACTTGCTCTCTTTTTTGTTTGCCTTTTCTTTCTTTTTTTTCTACTATTATCTTAACTTTGAGATTTTAACGCCAAGTTTAAATTTAAGAGAGAAAGAGAGAGAGCGATAGTTTTGTTCCTCTTTCGCAATGTGTTTTTTTTTAAATTCTCTGTTCTTCGTCTCTCTTGTTTGTTAATTCTCTCTGTCGTAACGCGATCACGCTTTTGTTTTCTCTCTCTCTCTGTCTATCTTTGTGGAAAAAGCGGGTAGAAGAGATATTACTTTTTGCCTATTCGTTCGCATCGAACGGCGATTTCCAACCCGTCCCCCTTCGAACCCCGCCGTGTTTCTACCCCTAAAGTGTTTATATATGGAAAATCTGCACGAGTTATTATTAGCAGGGTTTCGAAGCGTTTCTTACACTCGCCCACGCTCTCCTCCCTCTGTCTTCCACGCTATTTTCCCCTCGTGGCACCTCGCAGTATCTCAGTTTCGTCGTATATATACGTATGTACGAGGTAAACTCTAAACTGGCATTATTTGCCCACTATATTAACGCCCTTATCTCTCTTTCGGTATGGCGGTATGCAAATTTTATGCAATACCACTTCCTCTCTGCTATCCTCACCCCTATGACTTCTATCCACGCTCTACGATTCTTCTTTTCTTTCTCTCTCTTTTACTGTTTTTGCTCGCTCGTAAATTATCGCTCGATATCTATTATCTTTCGAAAATTTCTCGATTCGTAGGAATTTATTAATCGTAAGTTCTGTTTTTAATTTTTCGTTTAAATTTGAGAATAAGTAGAAGGCACAAGAAAAAGTAAAGAATTGAAAATCTATCTGGATTTCTATCTGGAAACCGCTCGTTTCAGTTTTCGAGAAATCTAGATCATACGAGAAAGTTTTTTTCCCCCCCTCTAAGAAAAATAAAAATTACTCTTCGCTTTCGAGGAACAGGATCGCAAATGATTCTCCTCCCTATTCATTTCAACTCTTCGCTACCAAAATCCGTCAGTGAAAATCTACCATCGAGCTTTTTTCAAGTCCCTTCGAGAATGATAAAATTTTATTTATCCAACTTTGCGAAAAAGCAAGGTTTGCCAATCCCTCCTCTTTCCATTCAATTCTACCAACTTTCCTATTTTCCAAGAATCCTGTACTCGAAAGACTACAGAATTTTCCCCTTTCAAAATCTAGTCGACTCTCTCGTTTGTCAAACTTGGAACAATTCTATTAGCCCCAAATCGACCCCTTTATTAACCCTTCTAATTCAACGATTCTCGCCCGAATTACTTTCGTCCGAAATTGCAATTATCATTCAATTTCTCTTTTCACTTCCAAAACCTAGCTGCGCATCCAAAACCCTCATCTCAAACTTGAAATAAAAATTCCATTTTGCGTGTTTTTCTTCGCGTTATCTATAAATTATTTTATACACGATTCATAATTGAACAAAAAAAAAAAAAAAAAAATATAATTGAAATTCCTAATCTTTCCTTTCGCTTTTAAATCTATCTCGTTCTATCCCCCAACCACGAATTATTTTTCACCATGCATAATAATTGCTACAAAAAATTGCATGCCTTCTTTCAAAAAAGAAATCCCAAATTCACCCCTCCCTCGTTATCTCACATACACACGAATTATATATTTTCAAACCGGGAACCGGGACAAAAATTGCATCCCCTTTAAATACGATTTTCGAACATTTCCCCAGTTTACATCACCTCCTCACTTTCAACTTTCCCCATTCCCCCCCTTCTCACTTCAAAATTCTCCAAATCTCCCCCTCCACATCCGATCCCAAAACAATTCTATTAATCGGAATTAATCTAAACCACTTCCCCTCCCTCCCCTCTCTCCCCCTCGTTATCCCTTTCGTTTCCACGATTTTCGCGCGAATTATCTTCCGCGACGCGACCCGTAACGGGGCGAAATCCCCTACGCCGCGTTCTCACCACCCTCCCCACTCTCCAACCCCCTCCAACCCCTCCTTCCCCTCCCTCCTCCCCTCCTCCTCTACTCCGCGTGTTTATGGCAGCACACGCGTTTACGTGCTGACCCTTCCTCCCCTCCACCATCTCCAACCGCCCTTCTCTCCCCCCCCCTCCCGCCATCACCGTCGCCCGCGCGTAACCGCGCGCACACAGCCGCGCGCACACCACCCCGTCCCCCTCCACGTAAGGACGAATAGCGGCTGCGTGTATATGCACCGTATGTACTAGGCACCGTGGATACACATAGC